AAATGTTACCTATGTCAGGGTATTTTTAATTCTAGCATCTTATGTAAAATGATTTCTTTTCCTCCCAGGCAAAATTTAAATTAAAAAAGCATAAGGAGACCATAATAATGCAAATAAACACAGACTTTTCTGTCAATTGAATAAACATCTTCAAAAGATGTAGAGCTTCTTTAAATTGTAAAGTTTAGACACCAATTACCTTAAAAATGGTTATGGTGATAGCAATATAACACCCAGTAGCTGTCACATTACAATACATCAAAGTAATGACCAATCACTTCAGACTGATTTCAACAAACCTGTATGGATGAATTTCCACTTATACCTGGTAAGGTAAGGGTTGAACAGACACTGAGAACTTTTACACTGTGAAGGGACATGCATAGGAAAAAGCACAGCTTTGCTGGGGTGGAAGTCTCACGCCCACTTTTCTCATATTTGACCACATTGCTTAAAATAATGATTTCATTAGTATGTCCAACTGCAAAGAAGGAGCAGCTCATACCCCTCTTTCTACTTGGGCCTGCATGCCAGCAATAGCATAAGTATTTAGTAACATTATATGAACTTGCCCCACTTTGTGAATATTTACAAAGACTGGTTTTATTTCTTGGATGAACATAGTAACTTAGTTGACCAACGAATATAAGTTTCCACTTTCCTTCAACTTATGCCTCATTTGATCCTAAGCCTTTATGCAGTAGAATAATATTTTTTCTTCATGGCTGCTCGACAAAAGCAAATGTTTCTCAGAACTGCTGAAATTCTGGGACTTCCTTTCTTACACAGAGGCAGACAGCAGATGGAAACTTGAAGATATTTGAAGAAGAACCTCCAAGCTTTGATTACTAAACAGATACAGATGCTCCAAAATAATATTTTGTGTGGTTAAAAATAGAAGTGTTCCTATCTTAAAGCTGTTCAAAATCATGCCCGAACCAAAGGAAACTCATCAAGCTTGAGGATAATTGCCTGTAGTCTGTGGATAGCCTCAGTGTTATGGTATCTGCTTACATCAGTACTGAGTTTCACCCAGAGTGTGTGTTTGGAGTGTTGAGAACTATAAAAAGTTATTGTATATGAAATGCTACATTATGCCAATATCATACTGTTACAGCTTGTAAATTCACATTGATCTGTCTAATAAAAGATGTTTACAGCACTAATGAACTCAATCAAGTGCATGTTTGCTGATACATAAAAAAGTAACAAGCCATCTTGCTGGGCATTTGATTTCCAAGAGATAATCCCAGACAGTACTCTGAAGATTAGAGAGAGAGGAGATAAGAAGCTGTGACAGGCTGGCAATATCTGCTTGAAACACCATCCCCTGTTAGCAGGTGTTGGAGCTGCTGGGAAGCTGTTGCATGGATTTTGCTAACACACTGAGCAGATGGCTTATAAAAGAAATGGGTGTTGCTTTTTGAAGCAAAAATTATGTATGGCCTGAGAAGTATTGTAGCAAGAATCCTAAGGGAATATAAAATATAGGGATGGAAGTTGAGCTGAACCTTGTTTCTTCATTGGTAATGTTTTTTTGGCTGACACTAGGAAATGGATGGTTTATGACAGCATAGATTATGTTTGGACATAGCTTTATAGCAAGTGGGAAAATGTTCCTGTTTAGAAAAGTGTAATTATCTACTTAGTAAATATATTCTAAGATGAGTGCTATGCAAACAGAAGAAAACACACTATTTATAGCTATTAGCCAATAGGAATAGATATTATTTATATTATAAACCTATATGCTAATTCTGTTTTAAAGCTTTTGAACTTCACAATTGTCACATTTAATATTCTGAATATCTTCTTGAGATTTGTGAGTACTCACAATTGCACAAGGATAGAGCCTGTTTCAACAGCAGAGGTAAAACGCAACTTTGAGTTTTCTGGACCACATCAGACTGTGCATCCTACTGCAGCTCTGTAAGCTGGCAGTTGAGTGAGCAGGAGAAATAGGTCTGCATTTCCAAGTCCGTTTTGTGACTTTGTTCAAATACCAGTGTTCTTTAGACAATTTAATTATCCTTTTTGTAATTTGAGGACATTGTATTTACCGACTTGGAGATGGATTACATATACAGCATTACAGTGCTCATAATTATTCAGGGAATATGTTTGTAGTAACATGAGGGGTGAAATAGGAACTGTGTTAAAATAAATCATTCTTTCTCTCGAAATAGAACTGATCTGATTGCCCTCACCACTCTTCAACTGTAACAATTAAAATTCATAAAGGAATCCGAACTTCTGCATGGAAAAATTGGAAAAAACTAAGAAAATTCATAGAATACGTAGATTTCTGAGAAAGTACTTTCTGTCTTTCCTGTTTGTTCATTTCTGAAATTCATAAGATAATCTTCATGCTATGTAAAAGGTATTTTTATTACTATTTCTACTTACAATAATTATCTAGGCACATCTGCTCTCAAGTGCATCAATATTCAATATTTAAACTAGCTCAATATTAAAAATATAACTCTATTTAATGCTCCTAATTAAGCATCTGTGTATGTAATACCCTGCTTTGGTTCCTTACTACATTTTGTTAGCTCTAATGTTTCAACATGGAGATAGCAAGTACCATTTACTCTCAGAGTGATTCAGAATGCAGATCGCATTAAAAAGAGTAAATCCGATCTGCTTCTGGGAAACAACAACTAAAAGCATGTTCAGGAAGAGACGAATGCCTCCTGCCTCCCAGGAATGGGAAGGAGAAAAAGCATTTCTGCTGTGAGGCTCTGACCTTTGCTGGGAAGATGAGTCCCGGGTTGTGCTTTCCCAGCTGAGAACAGCACCCATTGGTACCAGGAGCCAAGCAGGCCACAACTCTATTGCCAAACTTCAGGTTTGCCTGTGAATCATAAAGCAACAGCTGGGTGCAATCTCTCATCACAAATCACCACAATCTCTTGCTTGTGGTTTGCTGCTCTTCCCAAGATCTAGTGTACTTTGCTCAGCAGAAGTGTGCACATTGTTTGGGGTGGAGAGGCCTGGTTTGGGCTGTGGAATGTGGACACACTGCTAAAACAAAGCAGGCAGGGGCTGCTATATGCCCAACCCAAGCTTTGACCCAGAGATAACATGCACTGCACGTCAGCCTTGTAAATGGTTTCATCTGCACTCAGTGGCAGCATTCCAAATGACTAACGGAAGGAGAATCAAACCTTTCCTCAGGAGCATCCGGAACACAGCTTTGGCACAGCTCTGAGAATAATGACTGTCGACACGGGGATGAGCTTAGATCCCATTGCTTTAGCATGGGTTTTCTGTCACTAAAATTTAGACCTGTTCCTACAAACACCTATACAAGCATGGGCGCTTCTATCAGATTACACGTTTGTGGCCAGAAATTATATCACTGCCTTTTTATTTTTTTTTTTACAAGCCCAACAAAGGTTTTAATGGCAAATAAATAATTATTTCAGTGTATCAGTAGAAACCACAATGTAATCTGTCAGTCAACCCAATGAAAAATACCATGTCTGTAAAAAGTAAATTCTTCAACTTTACAAGCTACAAATTGATACCACACATGAGAAAACAGTTTGATAACTCTCTAGGATTTCCTAAAGGATTTTTCATGTGCTTTTCTGTCCTTAACAATCATTTTAGCATTTGCAAGAAGCCCACAATCTGTTCCTATTAAAGTATCAGCTTACCTCAAAATATGTTAAAATAGAGTAAAAAAAACACCTTAATGCTGATCAAGTTGCAATTAAATTTTCATTTTCATTTAACATTATCAACTATATTTCAGCTCTTTCTGATCAAGAAATAGAAAACTTGAAACTAAGCCCACTGAATATATTTATTTCTAACTGCCTTAAAGAGGTAGTTGTAGACATTCGCATGGAAGACCTTACTTTAACCAAGAGATTGTGCAGGAAAGACTAGACTGGAATTGATTTTAAAGGTATGTAGTAGTGAGGAATGTGTGATGTAAGAATGTAACAGTATGAACTAAGATCATTAATTAATAAACCAGAAGTCAATAAAAGATTACACCTAGTTCCATGGCAAACATAATGCAGATGACATAAAACGCCATGGAGACTTCCACTGCTTGTGAATAGAGCTCCTAACCTTGATAAACACAGAAGATACTACATAATCCACTGAGATAATTGACTGAATTTCAGTTGGGGTTTTATTATTTATTCTGTAAGCATTTTCAGTAAAACTTTTTATTCTTCTGATAAAATCCTGAAAAAAAAGTATTTTACAAGCGTTTCTCTATTTTTTTCAATCTTTATGGCATTTATCTGACTAGGTCACGTGCCTTTACGTGGAGATGCGAATTATTTCAGGAAAATCCCTAAATGGCTCGTTCAGAGTGGCAAACAGCGGTTGTGCACACGGGAGGGAAACATTTAGCTACGGTTCCAAAGGGGAAGGGGGAAAAAATCCTGTTTGGAGCCGCGGGCGGGGGGCAGGGATGTGTGGCTCGGGCAGGTGCCGGGCTGTGCGCGGGGAAGCGCCGGCGGCTCCGGGCCCGCGGGCGCCTCCACCCGCCCCGGCCCCACGCGCCGCCGGCCCGCGGGCGCTCGGGGCGGCTCCGCGCCTCACGGCCGAGCGCGCTCGGGGCGCCCGCGGGGCTCTGCGGCCGGGGAGCGCTCCGCAGGGTTCCTAAGGCGCTCCCCGGCTCCCGCGGCTCGGCGGGGCCGAAAGCAGACGGCCGCAGCCAGCCCTGAGGGCGGCGCGGCGCGGCGCGGCCCGCCTCGCTCCTCCCGGCTGCCACGGGCCGCCCCGGGCGCTGCCCGCGCGGCCGCCGGCTCCGCTCGCGTCCTCGGGCGGCGAGACAGCGCGGGCCGCTCCACCGCGAGCGCGGGGGGGCACCGGCGGACCGGCAGCGCTGCCCTCGGCCGCCGCGCCGCCCGCCCCGCTCCGCGGCCGCCGCCCGACGCCCCACGGGCGCAACCCTCGCACGTACCTGTGTGGGAGGGCCCGCGCTCCCCGCCCCGCCCGGTTGCCCGGCCGCGGGCGGTGCCCCCTCGCAGGGAATGGTTTGTCCCGGCTCCCCGCCGTAACCTCCCGCTCCTCCTCCCGCCCGTGCCCGGCGCGGATGCTGCCGCCCGGGATCGCCCCGCCCGGGATCACGCCGCCCGTGAGGCGCAGCACGCGCCGCCCGCGAGCACCGGAGCGCTGCAGAGCCGCCCGCCCGCGCCCCGGCAGGTGAGGTCAGGGTGAGGGGCCGGCGGGGCGCGACACCTCCTCCTCCTCCTTCTCCCGCGGCGGCGGGGGACAGGCTGCCACCCCCGGAGAGAGGCGGCGGAGCGGCGGCCCGCCGTGATTCAGCATCGCCGGAGGGGAAGGGAAGCCGCATCCGGCCGGGAGGCTGCGGGGCGACCGGGGCTGCCGGAGCGGGATCTGTCGCCGGCTCGGGGTGATGCTGCGGGGCGGGAGCGCAGGGAAGTGCCGGCAGCCCCGGCGCTTCTCCGGTGCCCCGGGGCGCTCGGAGCAGCGCCGTCCGCCCGGGGCCGCGGCAGGTGCGGCGGCAGCGCGGGCAGCGGCTCCTCGGGAAGTTTCCCCAATGCAGCGGGCGGCCCTCGCGCGGGGAGGGAGGATGACTGCGCGTGTCGCAGCGTGAGGAATAGGGAACCGGGAGGCATTTCAGGATTAAAGGTATTCGTTTCCTCGTCTCGCCCCCCTCCCCCCAATTTTTGCATGCGAAGCCCATCGTCTGTGCGGGTCGTATCGCATGTACGGCCGGGTCTCTTCAGAACCAGTTAAGGTTAAAATGGGATCGTCTTTTGGCAGTGATACCCAGTGGAGTCTGAAATGTAGAACAAGTTAAATCTCTGGAGATGCAAGTCAAATATCTTCTTCTGTGCTTTCCGTCCTTAGCTGGAAGCCTGTAATCTGTGGGATCTTTTTGAATTTCTGCTTCTGAAACCACACATAATTGTGAGCAAAAGGGAAATGCATTGATGCTGGAATGTGAACGTACTGCTGAATTCTGTGAAAATGACTTAAGGTCTCAGTATTGATCGCTTTTGTGCCTTTCTTATGTATTTGCAGTTTGAGTAACAAAATCAGATTTTATTCCTTCTTAAAACCCCTCTAAACCAACCAAACATACACATCCCACCCACCCCTAGTTCAGTATTTTTTTTTCTGTCTAAATCCCTCATTAATTAACCAGACTGTTAGTACCTGTCTAAATAATATTCAGAGAAATTATGCTGGTTCTTTCTACATATGAATGATCAGAAGTACTTTTCTCTGTGGAAATTGGTTGTCCCCCAAATACTGCAGAATATCTCAAAATATACAGTGACTTGGCATCTGTAGAAGCTTTTACCCCTGTTTTAAGTGCTGCAATGGGCTTTAAGTAGAAATAAGATGTTATTATTTCAACTAATGATAGTTCAAACAAACAAACAAAAATAGAGAAGCAGGTATTATGTCAGGGGTTTTCCTGTGTGGTGACTAAATAGAATGTCTGCGATGACATATGGAGCTATCACTTCTGAAGCAAGATTCTCTGGAGGAAAAATGTTACAAAGCTTCAGAAAACTACATGAGCTATTTATTACAGAATATGTGACTTCTTTTATAATGACAAAATATGCTTTTACCTGCAGGTATTTGCCATATTATGCAAGGAAGTATAAAAAACTAGTTGTCAGGTTTTAATTTTTTTTTCTTTAGAAAAATGCCCCTATTCTAGATTTCTGATGGTTTGGATACATTCCACATATTTCCAAAGGGGTCTACCCAGCACTTTAGGAGTGTTAGAAGAGGCCAGGAGATCAAGCCTGTCAGCAGTTATTAGGTAATTATTCCAGTAATCTAACAGTTATTTTAGTAGTCTGCAGCTCAGGTTTGCAATCAAAATAAAATTTATTCCCATGTTCTTCCAAAACTGATAGTGGTAAATTGGCAGCATAGATTTAGCTGTGGACAAGTCTGAAGAACTAGGAGATTAATTGATCAAGAAGCAGTTAGACACAAAGCCATCTTGCAGTTTTCTGTATAGTTAATTTTTTCTCTAAGATGTTTCTAATGCTGTATGTTGGTTATGAAGGCCATAAATAGAATTTTGAAGGTGAAACGTGGCAGACAGATGCTGAGTGCTGAATGTGCTCACTCTGAATTGTCAACATGAAAAATGACTGAAGTATGATTTCTTGATTTTGAATCTCCATCTGTGGATATTTTTATAAATTTTAAGTCTCTGTAGGATACATATGGCAAATTTCTTGAACATCCACATTCCACATTTTCTAATTTTCTGTGCTTTTTTCCCCCCATTTTTTTCCTTGTGTATATTTTAATGTTGTGTTAAGGAGTATTTTTACATTTACTAGCTACTTGCAGATGTCTCATACTAATTGAGAATACATTAATATAAGTATGTAAATCCTTAGGAAACAAAAAAATGAAATGAAACCTTAATGTCTGAAATAGAGAAATGGATAACATCTTCCAAACTACCCTGCATCTACTTTTGGAAAGCTCCTCTCTTAAAAAATGTGTATGGCAGCATGTTACAAGATAACTTTTTGATATGAGTAGTTAATGTTTTTTAAATTTTGTGCCATGATTTTATCAGTGTGAAGATATCTTGTAGAAACCAACAATGCTAATTTCTCACTTCTATATGTTTCCACAAATCTTCAAAAAATTCCAAGTCTTATTACTGCCTTGGAGTGTTACGGCTTTTTGGGCAATCCTAAATCATGAAGACACTTGTGGGACTCAGATTCAGTCAAAGAAAGAAACTGAGAGTTTCTAGCCAGGGAAAAAGCCTGGGAAAGAGCTGGAGAAGAATGTAAATAATTCTTTATCTGTCTTGTTTTTCACATTGTTTATAGTTAAGTTCTATCACTGTTCGTCAAGCACTTTGCACCAATGCTGTGGGTTGTTTTCACTTCAGAACCAATGGAGTTGGTCCTCACGAAGCTCTGTATAAAAGAGCAGTGTATTTTGAATAAATCGGAGTATCAGTCTCATGCAGCCTTCTGGTCAGTCTTCTCATTCCCGTCCTGCCTCAACAGTGACAGACACTGAATTTTTTTGATAGGCCTCATATCAGTCCCTGACAAAAAAGATGAATGCTTGCCAGTCTTTTTCTTTTTGATGAGGTATTTCCATTATCCAGAGTTGACACAGTGACTCTACAACGATCTGAGTGGAAAAGGAATAGTTTGGATTTGCCTAAAAGAGGGAGTTATTTTATGTGGAAAGGTGCATACAAACTGTCAAAGCTAAGAAATCTCACTGCAAGTACCACAGAACATTAACTGGATTTTGTTTTTCCCTTATGAACTTCAGAACACTTAGCCCTTGATTAATTTTTATTTTCTACATACCTAGAAGTTAATTGGGGCCATTTGAATCCTGCTGATGAAAGTCAAATGGCCCTTATTAAGCTCAAGGAGCTCTTTAGAGCTTCATTAATGCTTACCTAAAGTCCTGCCAGAATGATACTTTGCAACTGCTCCTTTTGCAGACATGAGCTTCCTGGAAAGTTTACCAGAACCAGTGAACCTTTTTAACATTAATATTTAAAATACTAATGTATTTTTAAATTTAGAATGGAATTTGTTGACGTCTACTACACTGATGGGTAAAAGAATAATTTTCAATTGAATGGATATATGAGAAAAAAAGGTGACATTCTGAAGGAGTCAGCCTTGGAACCTGGTGGGCATTAGAGCAAATCTTCCACGGTTGCAACCCCTTGGAGCCCAAATCTTTCACACCAGGAGATTCCATAGTGCCCTAGTGTACTGAATCCTCTTGCTTATGGCAGTGAAGGCAAGAACCTACAGGTTCTGTAGGGGTTAAATAATAGATTTTGCTAAGAGCATTTCCCACTTTTCCTCCTTGCCTTCTCTCTGCAGTGTTCATATGGCTGTACACCATAGTTTCACAATTCTATCACATTAATTTATACTCATTTACCAACACTTTTTCTCTGTCTTGATTTCATTTGCCAGGAAACAAGCTCTAACATTAGAATAAATTTTTGGCTTTGTGTTTTGAAGGGTTAAGTAAAGCAGACATAATGGTTCTCGCTTTCAATATCAGCTTTAATCAGAATACAGGATCTCCAAAATGAAGACTTCTGTATAGAATTGTACTATTTGTTTTCCCATTGTTAAAAATTAAAGTTCCAATAATTGAAAATGTTAAAATATAGATCCACAATGTTTCAAAGGCAATATTAAAAAAAAATATAATCACATGGGATTTTTATGAACATTGATTTCTGGGGACAGAGGAACAGTACTGCTTTACAGAGAACCCAAATTAACAGTAATAATGAAATAAAGACAAAAGAAAACATTCTGATTTAGGGATCACTTTTCACTTCCTGGAGTGAAGTGAGTGTCATGCCATTTCCCACTTTGGCTTGTGTTTGGTTTTGGAAGGATTCCAGATTGAAGTTTAATGTGTACCACTGTCCAAATGCACCTTAGATGGCTACACTACTGTTAATTGATAGAAAAACTGACTGCCTAAAAGGATGGAAGTGCTTTACACCGCAGTTCAGGAGCCCTTTGTGGCCAACAGTAGTGACAGAGTACTAACAGTCACTCTTCAGAAGAGAGAAATATAGACTGAATCCAATTTTCATATATAATAAATGCTGCAGAAAGAGTTGAGTAGGGTGTGGGTTTCACAGTTAGACACAGCAATGTGTTGACATGTTTATTTCCATCCTTGCTTAGTAGCAAAATTCTAAATATATTCTTCTTTGGTTACATTAAAGTATGTTTCCTTTCAACTTTGTCCTTGGGTTGACATGTGTTTGTTTTATTTTTAGCACTTGAAAACCAACACAGTTATATCCCTATAGGGTGCAATGGAAGCACTGGAGTATAGCATGTGAAAATGAAATCAGAGGCTTAATACTGAATTGTTGCAGGTGAAGAGGCAAAGATCTTGATACTGATTATGACCACAAAAACCAAGTAGACTGACAGGACAGAATATTGTGTGATTTGATGGGGAAATCACTGTTATCTGCTTGCACAGAATGAACTTCTCCTGAAAAATATAGAATAGAGCTATGTGATAGAAGACCATGCTTTCTATGCTTTTGTGGGTGGTAGTCAAGTGTTTAGTGTTCATTGAACATGAAATTTTTGTGAATTTGTAATAGTGTTTTATCCGTCCAAGCTTATCTTGGTGTTGTGAAGGGTGGGAGAAGCATGCAAAAG